GAATTGGGTAGTTTAGAGTCCAAATTTTTTAAAAAAAATTTCTTATAACCTGAAAATTGTAAGAGTTCTGTATATTGAAACAAGTATACAGTTTTTCCAGTGTGTCCACGGATGGACTTAACTATTAAAAATATTTATTTTTAATTTTGCAAAGAAAAGTCATTTTTCATAATTTCTTTTGCTTGTTATATAAATCTTTGTACAGGGTGAGCAAAAATACAGATTTTCAAAATTAAAATGTTTTAAAATATTTTTGAAGCGCCAATATAAGAGCTGGAAAGGATAAATCAAAAAGTCCAATGAAGTTTTTTCATATGAGTTTTTGATACTAAGATATTTGATATTGAAAATTTAAGATATTAGTTTTCAAATTTACCAAATAATTGTAGACATTGTAGACATGTCAGTTGAAAGCAACAACCTTGATTCATAAACACAAAATGAGATAGCAGTCAATTTCTAAAAAATAATAGGACCACTCAAGTTAGAACCTGAATTGATTTTATTTTTAATAAAACTATGTATATTTGGCTTTTTGGTTTCTCCTTACAAGCTCTTCATTTTAGACCTTAAAAAAATATTTAACAGTTTTTAATTTTGTAAAATCTACAATTGAATTTTTTTGCGCACCTTGTACAACAAAATAGAAGTTTCTCATCGTGAATGGTATTTATATAACAAGCAGAAGAAATTATGAGGAGTGACTTTTCTTCGAAAAATTGAAAAAATATATTTTTACAAGTATAGTTAAAGTTAAACTCACACCAGGATCCTTCTGCTTCTTACCCCTTCATTTGTTTTAAAATAAATTGTATCTATTTTTAGGACACCAATTTTTAAAAACAATTTTTAGCAAATTAAATTTGTTCACAATTATAATAATAATAACATTTACATTTTTATGACAGTTTTACTTTCTTGAAACAAAAATATAAATAATTATTGCCACTGTCTTTAAAAAACTTGCATTAAAAAATATTGAAATTTTTCAATATTTATCAATATTGATAATTTTAATTTTGCTTCAATTTTTTCCCTTATTCTAAGCGAAAATGCAGTTTGGCAGGGATTTTCGTGCAGTGGCAGGATTTGCAGGAGTTTCCGGGATATTCCGGGCGCAACGCTGCAGGAGTACAACGACCCCGCTATTGATTTTCCTGCAATTTCACTTTTATTTTGTTTTGATATAACTCCGGGCAAAAGTTCGTTTTCCAAATATATATATACACCGAACTCTTTAATATTAACTTAATTAAGCATTTCAATTGCATAAATAAATAATGTAAAAAATTATTTAAAAATTTGTTTTGCCGCATAGATATGCATAGTTTTTATATTTCCTAGACAAATTGCATACATTATGTTGCTTGTGTTTACATATGTCGTTCGATAAGAAAGGTCATTTTCGAATAAATTTTCTAAAATGAAAAACAAAATTTATGGCAGCATAATTAAGTATGACCTTACTCAATGTTACAAATATTGCAGCAAAATTAATTTTACCAATTATATTTATATATTTAGCCGGTAATGCGTTAAACAACAATTACAAACTTCACCTTGAGTTTGTTACGTTTCTTTGCAACAAACGTTCAAAAATAGTCTGGAATTTTATTTACCCACCTAGAGAAAACGTACACAGTCATAAGTCACCGCATAAGCAAATGCAACTAATTTAAGTATCTCTGTTCACTTTAATAACACAATTATTATGCAGCCAAAACGTGAGTTTTTAAAGATATCAACAGGTTTAATTTTTTAATGTATTATTGAGGATTTAGATTTTTTTCTTTCCATGGTGTTTAATTGGACAATGTCAATACAACATATTCATAAATAAATTGCGCACTACTTTAAAAATTGCACTCCTTATCAACCATAGTTACAGTGGGTCAAAGAGTAAGTTTATAGGGATAAATTAAATCTAGGAAAATAACTGTAAACATTTGGAATTAGTGAACTAAGTTTTTTTGACAAGCACTTTTAGATTTAGAGTAAAATATTTACATATTCACACCTTATTCTATCAGGGCTTTCATAGAACTGTCAAATGTCAATTTTAAAGTTAATTTGTGTAAATTAACCTTTAAATTGACATTTGACAGTTTGATGACAGCCCTGATAGAATAAGGTAAAAAAAAGTTAATTTGTGTAAATTAACCTTTAAATTGACATTTGACAGTTTGATGACAGCCCTGATAGAATAAGGTAAAAAAAGTTAAATGGTAACAACATAAAAATGGCCGCCGTTAAAGTATGTGTAGTGGGTTGCATAACCTCGTGTTTTTTAGTATGAGTAATTTAATATATTATATTTAATTATAATTAATTAAAATATTATAATATTATATGACTATTCATATTTTTGGGCATTTTAATAACGGGCTAAAGTTTATTAATGAAGCTTTATTATAAATTAGGGAAAAGTAAGGTTAAATCCGATAAAAGTTGAAAGATGTCAAATGTGTAAGAAATAAAATTGGCTTTCAATTCTTCTTTGTGTTCGTCGTAGATAAAGTATAGAATGCAACTCGTTTTATAAACTTCTCCAAACACTCGTTTTTATTAAAAACTCGCTAGCAAGCTGCGCTTGTGTCTAATAAAACTTGTAAGGTATCAAGTTAGATAAAAGCTTTCTAGTCACGATTTTTTATTAGGCACGAATGAAGATTGCGAGCGAATGTTTAATAAAATGGGTGTCTATAAAAGTTTATATTGAGTTGCATACAAAACTTCTTCTACGACAAATATTATTAAATAGTACATTATAGACCAGGCGGATAAAGCTTACCTATATTATAGCCGAGCATAAATTTTACTGCAGAGGCGCTAGCCGTAGATTGTGTGCAAGGCAATTAATAAGATTTCGCCGCCAGGTTTTATAAATTTTGTATCAAGCATTTAATTTTAATTTTCCCTTAAGATTCTGTCACATCATTTTTAGATTAGGTTCAACTCAGAAGATGACATTTTTTGATTTTTGATTTATTATTAATATTATTTTGATTTGTTATTAATATGAAGTCTTTTTTTTTGCTGATATGAGTTCAAAATATTGCAGCCAAGAAGCTTTTCGCCGAGCGAAGCACAAAAATATCTTCTCCTCCAAATAACATATATCTACTATTCTAACAAAAACTAATCGAAAAATTCTTCAGATACTCGTTTTTATTAAACACTCGCTCGCAAGCTTCTCTCGTGCCTAATAAAACTCGTAACTGGAGTTTATAAAACTTGATACAAAATATACTATTAATGATTCATATAATTTTAAATCTGGCAATGTTGTTTACTCGAGTTGTGTCAATGACAGTTTGAAGCAAATTTGTTAAATTTAACACAACGTTTCTTTTACTGAGGTTTGTCAAAAATGTGCAATAAAAACTATTAGACTTTAGATACAGATTTTTCTTACTTTTTTAGGGAATATAAAATTTATTATAATATTTTTAATTTTTATTATTTTTTTTCTTGTATTTTTAATAATTTTTTGTATTCTATTTTTTGTTATATTGCCTTTGATTTTTTATTACATTGAATTTACTTAAATTTATTAACAACATTAACTTATCATATATCTCCGTACATTTTCCTGCATCATCCCACTGTGCAGTGCATATCACGTCGGCGTTCTGTGGTGCACCGGGTAAAGACGGCGCGAATGTGGTAGATGCACTACTCCGGCCTCACGGCAGACACTGTTGAGTTAGGTCGGCGTCTCGACGCATCCAGAACACTAGATCGGGAGAGTGCATGTAAACGTCGCGGCGCGATTTCTCTTCCCAGTGTTAGTGACAACCCGCCAAAACCGTTTTAAAAGGTGCGTACGGTGCGTAATACACCCACACACGCTTCCTTTCACGCACGTTCTCTAAGGACTATGTTAGTGGTTAATGAAGAGCACGTGAGGCTGTTATTATTGTCCTTATAAAGTCATCTCACAATCATTTTTTGTCACTTATTTTTTTATTACCATCTGAAAAGGATTTAAATGCTCCTTCTTTTTTAATAAACAATTTAATTTAGTCCTTAAAATGTCATGCATCAGTTTTTATTATAATTATAATCTTATTTTTATCGTGAAAAACTACCAGTAATGTCCTAAACTGTTATGACAATTTTTAGACCCTAGGTTTTTGACAATTAATAATCTTTATAAACTCTGAAAACTAAAAAATTCTACACAAATATTAATTAATAATTTGTCCTAAAAACTTTTCCAGAAAATGTTGAAATTATTAAAAAGGAAAAACATTTAATGTTTTTCCTTTTTAACAATTTCAACATTTTCTGGAAGAGTTTTTAGGACAAATTATTAATTAATATTTGTGTGGATTTTTTTATAGTTTTCAGAGTTTAAAAAGACTATTAAATTTTAATACATTAACACATTAATAATAATTTTATAATCACTACAAATAACACAATAAGCAACAAACCTGTAAAATCAAGTTTTTAACATAGTTTCTTGAAATATAAAATACATAAATTTTAAACCATTTAAGATCATCAAGTGCAACTCTCAAAAAAACAATTGACATAAGAATATTTTGGGGTTATGTAAGCATTCACTTTTAATTTATATATACCTTACATGCTTTACAACTTAAACTTATGATTATGGATAAAATGTGATGTTTAGCAACTTTAAAAAACGTTTAAACTCAAGTGATAATGAAAATTATTATCGATTAATCTATATATAGAAAAGCATTTTCACTATAATTTTGGCAGTAAGTCAATGCAAATACTCACAATTGGATGCACCAACTTCACTTATAATTACGTAAAACTTAAAATTTGTGCAATTTTTTTTACTTTAGTTGGTTTAGGTTGGTTCAATACAATCAAAAGTGAAAATTCAAGATGGCGTCATCTACGTTTCCGTTAAGCAAGCGTACGAAATCTACGCCCTTCGTAGCTCTATTTTAAAACTGCATTTGCAATTATTCAAGGTAACAATGAATCGGTTTTTAGTTTAGTTGTCCAAAATAGACGCACTGCATTGCAAGCAATAATCATCATCCTCATTTTCATGCTGTCATTCGGTTTCAACTTTGACCTTTAGAATTTTCCGCCGCATTTTGTTTATTGCTAAGCGCGAAAAACAATAATTTCTCGCTAATCGCAGTGGGCAAAGTAAAACGTATGTTTTTCCTGCGGTACCCCCTCCAAAGCCGGCTCGATTTTTTCGAAATGAAAAGTGAATTTTCAAGATCAAGGCAAAGTCAAAATTATATTATTAGATGTTTGTTTATTTTAATTTAGTAAGTGCACTAGTGCATCGTTATCTGCGTTGACTAAGGTTAGGTTATAGTTTTAATGCATGAAATATCCTTCATTTTTGTTTTACATGTACTCATCCAGAAAAGTAACCTGCAAAAGTGAGCGACATCTTCACCATTACGCAACCAGCTTTGTTCGTTTGTTAGGTTTTTCTTCGTTATTAATAAACTAGTTATTGCAGTAACATTGAAATCATAGGCAGCCATGGCCTCTCGATGTGCCAAACGCTGGCAAGGTTTCGTTGAAAAAAGACGAACATAGGAAATGCAACGCATTAGAAAAAGAGACTGCGACGCGGTGACGTTTAAAACAATTTAATATGCAACCTCGCACTAATATTAGTACTGAATTAAATAAGTTTGCTTAAGAGAGGAACTATTTGGGGATCTAAACTGAGAAAAATCGCATTTATTTTCGTTATTACACATAAAAATTTAATTACAATTAAACAACTCTAGTTGTTTCAAGGTCCAATCGCTTCTACTAATTGTGCATTGATTAAAATTTACTTTGTTGATTTATTATTATTGAGTGTGCATTTGTTTATATTTTAATTTTTTTGCAGGACTTAAATGCCTTGAAAAGGAAGTGCAGTCCTTAAAAAAGGGAAACATGAGAGAGGTAAGAAATCATCCCATCATAAAAAAACCAAAAATTAATTTATTTAGAAAATTAGATTTAATTCATTACAAACTTCTAAAATAATAAAATATTAATAATATTGGCCTCAACGCAGCCCTTAAAAATTATTCATTATTGTATTAGTACAATATTAAATTGATGATCGTAGACATTAAATCAATAAAAAATCATTTTTCTACCCTATTTATTTATATTATCTCGGCCCATCCCTTCTAAGAAAGAATCTGTCGCTTTTCGCTTCTGACAGTTGCAGTGACATTTCTTTATGCAGTGTTTTAAATAATTTACTTTAAAAACAAAATCATGGTTGTCACCAAATAAATCAAACCAAATATCCCTAGGTAATCACGTCTTAATTAACGCATTTTTATAACATGACAATAAGAAAATGTAAAATTGACATTTGTCAAAATTCACAACACAGTTTAGCAATAAGAAACGATAACATCCCGTGCAGTCTTAGCAAGATTAATATTTTTTTACTCGGAAAGTTACTTTTTGTTAGAAGATAAAATAGTAGATATGTTATTTGGAGGAAAAGGTATTTTTGTGCTTTGCTTAATTGTTCATATCAGCACAAAAAGACTCACTTCTCCTCCTAATGACATAATCTACTATTTTATCCTAGCGTTTAATAATATTTATTATATAGAAAGACTTCATATTAATATTAAATCAAAATATTATTCATAATAAAAACCTATAAAAAATGTGACATAATCTTAAAGGAAAATTAAAATGAAATGCTTGAAAAAAATTATAAAACCTGGCGGCGAAAACTTATTAATTGCCTAGCACACAATCTACGGCTAGCGCCTCTGCAGTAAAATTTATGCTCGGCTATAATATAAGCTATAATACAAGCCTGGTCTATAATGTACAATTTAATAATATTTGTCGTAGAAGAAGTATTGTATGCAAATCAATATAAACTTTTCTAGACACTCATTTCATTAAACATTCGCTCGCAATCTTCACTTGAGCCTAAATAAAAATCGTGACTAGAAAGCTTTTATCTAACTTGATACATAATATAAATAGTATAATATGTATCAAGTTTTATAAACGCCATTTTAGTTACCTACGAGTTTTATTAGACACCCGCGAAGCTTGCGAGTGAGTGTTTAATAAAAACGAGTGTCTGGAGAAGTATATAAAACGAGTTGCATACTATACTTTATCTACGATGAACACAAAGAAGAATTAAAAGCCAATCTTATTAGGTTGTGGCATCTGTCAACTTTTAACGGAATTAAATTCACTTTTTCCTAATTTATAATAAAGCTAACTTCAGCCCGTGAGTTAAATGCCCAAAATCCACTATTGCCTGTGACTAAAACGCCATCACAGTCAGCTCCTCAATGTAGTAAATTTACCAATTTTAATTTAAAACGTCATTAATTTTAATTTAGATTTAATTTTCTATTAAAATGATGATTTTTTAATAGCTAAAGAGTTACTTTACGCCTATTTACAAAAAAGATATTTTTAAAGATTTATTAAATAAAAAATATAAGCGTAGTTTTTTACAAAATTTACTGTTTTAAAAATGTGCATAAAATTAAAACAATAATATATTTTTTGTACCAAAACCTATCGGTTTAAGGTGTTTTGAACAAAAAAGTATTTCCTGCTATAAACTTAATCTTACTTTATATAGCAAATAATTTCTATGGAAAGCAATAAACCAATAAGAGTACAGCATTTTCCACAACATACTATAGTAAAATCGCAAATTTTAAGGTTCTTCCCCTGGCTAATTGCAGTTGTTGAACAATTAAATTTTTATTTTTTTACTAACAAGAAACAATTTTAGTAAAATGTAACTTAAAACCATTGAAGTCCTTGATATATTTACCAAAGTATTTTTAAGTCTCTATTTTAACTCTTAAATGTTATTGCAAAAGTTATTGCGTAGGTTATTTACAACTAATTTTAAATTATACGCAGTCGTTAAAATTATATTTTGTATGTTGCTATACATTTTATCTGTAAACAATACTGACCTAACGAAATTTGCCATTTTAGCCACCAAAAAATGCAAAGTTAATGAGGTTCAAATATAATTTATTTATTTATGTTAGAATGCTGCAATTTCCATGATAAGGATTTGCTAAATTGCAATACGAATTGTGAAATCAATTAATTAATAGACAATATTTTTTATCGCTTCCTAAAAGTGATAAATTGACAATAATAATATTTTCATTGTCAAGGCCTTAGGCATGCAAATAACATGCAAAAAAATGTATTGACGCAAAACTATTTTAATAGTTAGTTCTTCCTAAAGGTCATCTACTTTAATCGCAACGACAAACTTAAAAGCACAAATTTATCCTGCAGTAACAACATTTCCTGATCCTGTACTCTGATTAGTCCTGACCTTTGACTAAAGATACGCCGTGCTTGTGTGCACTTCCTGTCGGTTTTTCCTGAAAAAGGTGCATCCAGGCACCGAACTGCAAGTCCAAATGTCGGAAGTTCAAAATGCAACGCAACCTTTGACCTTAAATGGCCAATGTGCATGAAATTAAGTTTGGCCTGCAGGAACTGCCATTTGAAATTTTGCGGGGGTTCAAATCTATAGTTTAAATAATTTTTAAAAAATACGTGCGTAATTTTGTGTGATTTTGGGGGTCTGAAATAAATAATTTAAACAATGCCACCTTCATAAAAATTGATTAAAAGGTATAATTAAAGGTTAAATAACACTTGGAATTCTGCAAAATTTATTTATAACGTTCTATAATATTATTATATTCATAGTTTCAAGAGTTGTGTTTCTTTGAAAATTAGAAAGGTTTACATTAAATTTTTTTCTACTCCCACCTTTAAAACGCCTTTTTTTAAGTGATCTTTTAGTTCCACCTTTACTTCCTAACAAGTCCCAGAAGCCAACTGAATGGCTTGAGCGGATTAGGGGTAGGAACGGACCGCGGGCTTAAAGTCCCCTCTATTACTATTACACAATAGGACAAACACACTATTATCGTACATGTTTTCATGACACTAAGTGACCTTTTAAATACACATTAACAAGTTGTGGATTTATGGCGCATTAGTCACGGGCTGAAGTTAGCAACAGGTTTTTGTCACAGGCTGAAGTTAGTTTTAAGTTAGCTGACAGTTGTGAAATGTCATACAATCGTTAAAATAAAGTTCCTTTTTTGTAAAATAATAATAAATGTGAAAATTATTTTATTATTATCAATACAAACATACAAAATTATTAAATAGTTTATTGACGCCAATATTTTAAAAGATTACATGACCTTTTGATTTCGCCGTAGTAAGCCAGTTAACTAGATTAAACTGATAAAGAGTTAAAAATTTTGGGTACAGTGCCCATAAAACATGATCTTCTCTTTTACTGTGAAAACTGCTTTTATATCGATTGTTAGTCTATTTACACAGAAAAATTTGAGATTTTAACGCCGATAGATTCCCAAGTTATAAATTCTAACGGGAATTCCAATACATACAACTGTCACTTTTTATACCTTTAACATTTCCCGTGTAAGAATTTTTAAGATTGTGATAATATTTTACAAATATATTATCTAATATCATAATATATTTAATAATTTACAAATATTTAATTAAAATAATTTTTTAAATAATATTAAGTATAATATAATATAATATAATATACTATACATACTATGTCGTAGAAAAAGTAAAGTATGCAACTTTTCTAGGCGCTCATTAAATTAAGCACTCGCTCGCAGGCTCGCTCGTGCCTAAATTCAATACGTGACTAAAATGGCGTTTATGAAACATTATACATAATATACGATTAAATATAATGTTTTTAAACTATTTGAAAATCTAAATTCTAGAATCGTAACTTAAACGTAAAAAAAAACAAAATGTTTATAAAAGATAGGACAGTTTGATTTTAATTGACATCCGCAGTAATTTCTCATGCACAAATTTCAGGAGTTTTGCCCCCTGTATATGCCAAAATGAAAATGTCTCCCATAGAAACGTTACGTTACATTAAAAAAATTCATTAAAATTAGATGAGCGGTTAGCGAGGAAATCATCATTAGAATTGTTGCCAATTTCTGGTGGCCGGTTTATTTTGCCGGTAAATGTAAATAAAAAACTTTAATTTATCGAACCTTTGCAGCCTCTCGTTGCAGTAAGTTTTTATTTATTCAAATTGAATTGTTTCGCGATCATGCGCAGAAACGGCCGCACATTTATTGGACGCCATTTTATGCACTCTATGACGTCAAAGATTCATCAATGACGTGAAACCCAAATGAATGGCGGCCAAGAAAAATATTCACCCCTCAGGTCATTGAGTTCATAGGTGCAAAATATTACAATTAAACTTATAAGTACATAAATTTTTAAATATAATATATTTATTTTAATTAAAAAAAACATTAAAATTAAGAGACAGTTAATTAAATTTAATAAATAATCAAACAATTGAAAAAATACAACATACTGTAACTTGACAAAATATTAAAATAATTTATTTGATAGGTAATAAATAAAATAGCAAATTTAAACATTATATTTTAAAATCAATAGTTTAACATATTATATAAATTCATACGTAATCCTATTCTTGCATATCATCTGCATAACAATCCTAATGGAGTTCGTTGCAACGTGTGACGTCACAATCGCAACATAATGACGTCGAAGTTAAAGTGGTAGCGTCGCGACGCAAGGGGCGGCGTAACGGCGGCGTCTGGCGGATCGATAGCGTACACACTGACCCATATCCCCTTTCACTTTGAGAACCGGCAAATCATCATAATAATGCACGCCAGTGGTCAATTACTATACTTTCGGATGCGTCTTTCAAATTTTAGTCAATTAAAAAAAACAGAATCAAAATATTTTCTAATTATTAATTGTTATTATTTTATATTAAAGGGCTTTAAGTAGTCTGCTCCTACCCCTAACCCTCACAGTATGCTTCAGGGTTTAAGTTTTGTACACACAATAAAAAAATATTTGTTAATTTTAACAAAATATTAACCAGATGGTAATCCAGGTCCACATAACTTTATGTTAAGTTTACAACCAACTGTAATCTGTTAACTTATTCTTGTTATTTTTAAAAAGGACCTTAATTTTACAAACCTTTTTGTAGAACTAGTAACAAAAGTATTTTTTGGAAATTGGGAACTTAAATGAAAAAAATTTTGGTAAGAAATGTTGCTTTTTTAATCAATTTCCTAAACAACAAAATTAACACATAACTACATAAATTTACACAAAAATGACATACAACTAATTAAATAACACATCATTATACAATCATCAAATTATAAAGAAATTTGGTAAAATTTAATTATAAGTACTACTACAAGACTTACTAATGTATTTCGTTACTTAAACCCACTTCCCTGTATCCCCTAATTTCGGTTTGAAAACCAGTGATGGCATCTTTTTTCGGATACTTCGCACACTCGTTAAATAGGTATAAGGAATCCGAATAACAATAATAACAGATTTCTGGTAATTTATTATAAACACTATGGACAGTTGTTACGAACACGTTACCAATTAGAATAAAGTAAGCAGAAACATAAGTTGGACTTGTTGATGCGTATTGTCAGTGGGATATGTTTTGATTGACTGCCTGAAATCACGTGTACTTTTTGAACAAAATAATTTAAAATTAACAATTGCATATTACATTTACAAAACTTTCGGAAAAATATTTTCCTTTGTCAAAATAAAATTAACAACTTTCTACTATGACCATCCATAGTAGAAAATTCAATTTTATCATACTATACTATAAATATAAATATTTAATAATAATAGGCACAACAGATTATTAATTATTATTATTAAAAAACTAAATTTAATATTTTTGCAGGACATTATGGAAGAATCTGCTGTATCCTCTGCGTCTGAATTCGATCCTGCCAACCTCTTGGAGGAGCAGTTCGAATGCCACACAACCTACATCGTACCGGATCTTCCGGTGGAACCTGGAACTCCTAACAGAGCGGAAGCTACTCTTCCAAGAAATTTGGTTTTAAAGCCATCTGAAGCTTTGTCTGATGTAAGTTAACTTTTTGAGTGTTTTTTTGTAAGGCTTTAATGTTTTTTTATTGTTTAGGCTCAAGGTGTTTGGAGTACGGGTTATATACCACGTGGTACAAGATTTGGACCACTTGTGGGTGAGATATATGCCAAAGATGCTGTTCCCAGTACTGCCAATAGAAAGTATTTTTGGAGGGTAAGTTTATTTTATCTTGTAAGAAAAACTAACCCAACAATTATTATAACAAATACTTATTATTAATAACGCTTTTACTTGACTTGTGGATAAGGTTTCTTCTTTTCTGGTTTAGGTGCAATTAAGGGAAGGCTTCTATAGAAATAACATGCCTGATAAGGTACTAACCTTGAATCTAAACTCTAAACCTTAACTCTTCTAACAAAACTCTATTTTTTCTAGATATACAAAGATAACGAGCTCTACTACTACATAGACGGTTTCGACACGTCCAAAGCCAACTGGATGCGTTACGTCAACCCAGCCTACTCCAGCGAATCTCAAAACCTAATCGCATGCCAGTACAAAATGAACATCTACTTTTACACCATCAAACCTATCTTACCGAACCAAGAACTCCTGGTTTGGTATTGCAAGGAGTTCGCGGAAAGGCTAAACTATCCTTTAACCGGGGAGCAGATGTTGCAAAGGATAAGGCAGCAGGTTCAAGTGCAGCAGTCGCCTGAGGTTATAACTGTCAGCACTACGGAACACCCTCCCAAAGACAGTGTCTATGAGCACCAGCTGACTCCTACAGAGGGCAGCGTGCGGTCTGATGAGGGTTACCATAGCAATGGGTACCATGACGACGCGTTCACGCCGCCTGAGGACTCCAGCGACTCCGACAGCGAGAATAACTATGTTTTGGACTTCAGGTAAGTGTTATACAAAAGATCTCCTGTAACAATATTTGGTATTAATTCTTTTTTTTTTTGCAGTAAAAAGCCAACTTCCAAAGAAACTCCAGTGATAAAGCCGGTGGCGGCCGAAGCTCAGAAGAACGAATACAGAAAAGTGAAAATAAAGATCTCAAAGGCGTATCACTATCACAAATCGCTAAAGAATGATAGCGACATGGAAACGGACAAAGAAGCATCACCAATAGAAACTGCTGTACCTGAAGTAACCACATTAACCCCGAGAATCATCACGCCTTCATCGACGGTGATAGTGATGGACTCGCCTCCTCACGAAGTTCCTAATAAACCTTTTTACGAGCCTGAAGTTGTGCAAAAACAGACGATTATTACGAGATATACGCCTCCTTCGTCTAGTATATTGGAAAATATTTTGCTGAGAAATCGTATCGACACGAATAACAATGATAATAATCAAAGGCAGCCTAATGCAACTCCTCCCCCAAGCTCGCCCACAGAGATGGCTTATTCGTACAAGAAGAGTCATAGGTATGGCACGGTGCCTTGCAGTCCCGACTCAAGCTCTAATGTACAAGGGCAACAAGTTTTGCCTTCGCTAAGTCCAGCTTTAATGAGGAATAACCCCCCGAGCCCAATACAGCATAACCCCGTCTACTCCCCTCACACTACAGATAATTATCACGGCCAAATGCAGTCGGTTAATTACTACAACATCTACCCCTCCCCCAATGGTATGGTGCATAGCACTATAACGTCACCCACGAATAATGCATACTCGCCACCCTTGACAAACTTCAACAACAATCACCATAACAACAACGGTTCCAATTTGATTGTACCGACATCTCATATAATGAGCACGAATTTCCCACCTCACCTGCTCACACCTCTCCCCCCATTGCAGACAAACATGAGACCTATTTCCCCGTGTTCCAAGAGCCCAGACAAATACGATTTAAACATGATGCAAGGTAGCCCTACAAGCCCCAACAGCCCATCCAGAGGCTACAGAAGCCTACCATACCCTCTCAAGAAGAAAGACGGAAAAATGCATTACGAATGCAACGTCTGTTGCAAGACTTTCGGCCAGTTGTCAAACCTAAAAGTCCATCTTCGCACTCACAGCGGCGAGAGACCGTTCAAGTGCGAAGTGTGCACGAAATCGTTCACTCAACTCGCCCACAAACAAAAACACCATCTAGTGCACACCGGCGAGCGTCCGCACGAGTGCGGCATATGCAAAAAGCGATTCTCCTCGACCAGCAATCTTAAAACCCACCTGAGACTCCACAGCGGCCAGAAACCGTACGCGTGCGACTTCTGCCCGGCCAAGTTCACGCAGTTCGTGCACCTGAAGTTGCACAAGAGGTTGCACACGAACGAAAGGCCCTACATTTGCCAGGAGTGCGGTAAAAACTACATCAGCGCATCTGGTTTGAGAACGCACTGGAAAACCACCAGTTGTCGCCCCAATAGCAATGACGAAGAGCTTAACGGCGAAGCGTCTCCCAACTGCTATTACGACTACGCTGGATCCGATGGTAGCCTAGGTAAGAACCTTTTGATATATTTTCTTAATGTCAGAACAAGATTTTGATTTCTTTGTGAAATTGTATCAGGATGGTTTACATAGACCTTCATTGATTGATTGTGTTAACCCCCTTTTGATGTAGCCCTGCCTTAACCTCTCAAGTAACACATTAGATTTTATTATTGCTGTAACAGCAATTAATTTAATTTTAAACCTATTTGTACTTTAATGTGCTGTTACAGCAGGCTCAAGACTTTTATTTCCTTCAAGCCCTTTTTTGCGTTGGTAATAAAACCTAAAGGTTTTATAATAATTGCTTTAATGAGGTTGATTCAGCTTTCTAAATCCTCCTCTGATACCTTCATTGAGCTAAATGGTAGTTAGGTGAGCTTACACGAAAAGGTCGATAAAGCTAGTTAGCATAAGCAATATTCTTTTTAAACATTTTTGCTTTGGTTTAGAATAATATTAAAACCATTATCTCTCGAGTAAAGACTATAATATTTAAAAGCAATATTTCTTCATCCTTGGGTGATATTTTAATGAAAGTCAATGAAATACTTCTTAAAAACAAATGGGCCTTCGCAACAAGCTAATTTTGCAACAATTTTTCATATTTGTTTTTATGGCATTCACTGGTGTTTATTCTAATTTAAAGCAACATTTATTTTCTGGAAACAAAGTGGTTTTATGAAGGAAGTAGTGCCGGCACCCTATAAGAATATAATATTAATCGAAGTATTATGACGACCCACTTGTCGAATAATGATGACATTTTGCATGTGCTAATTAGATTAACCTGAATTCGACACTACCTATAATAGCGGCGCGTGATGTAGTAATTTGGTTTTAAATCTCGTATATAAAATGTCTTTTAATGTATTGCCATCGAGACAAACTGCTCTTGAGAAGCTAGCACACAGGAGTATAATAAAGCAGATTAAAGTGTAAAAAGCACAAGGTCTTAGGAGTTTACATTTACATACATATCAAGAGTATTTACAAATGTTATAATTATATTTGAAAGAATATTTGAAAATTGGGTAAATAAAACACTTCATAAATATTACAAATACATGTATACAGGCACCGAAATCAATTACAAAATTTTGTATTTATAATAAAAAAATATTTAAAAAAATAAAAATTTGTTAAAAAAACAAAAGAAAATTTATAATTAAAGAATGTTTAAGAAATAAAAATTGAAAAAAAAAATTTTTTTTACGAAGAATCCTAAGAAAAGTTTTTTAATTTGTTTTGTAAAACAAGGCTCTTCTTTGATTTTTGGCACGTTGCTTGGCATTGTTCAAGGCCACGTCAAAGGACCTCTGAAACTCTACAGCCCCAGGAGGAGAAAATCTCTCGTGTTCATGTAAATTCTCTAGAAAAATATACCTTTATACGTTTTATAAATTATGAGAGAAATAGAATTAGGATAAGGCTATCAAGAATTATGTTCTATTAAACATTAAGAACTTATTGTAAAATTGTTTGTGATTAGTAACTTTATATGTTATGAAGAACTTAAAAAAGAAGCCAATACAAAAATTACATTTACCTTGCTCACTTTAGGCACTATAGATGTTTAAACCCAATAAATCCTCTTTTTCCTCTATGACATATAGGTACAGCGTTGCCAGACCACGAAAAATTTCCGTACTGATTTGGAATGAAAAACGTACTGATTTTAATAAAAAAGTACTGTTTTAAAAAAAAATACAAGATGTTAATATTTTGACGTACACCTCGTTTCTTATTGTAGTACACGTTCATCGCCCATAATGGCGGGTGGGGGCGTTGCAACCACATACTTAAAGTATAAAGCCTGATTTATAGATTGCCTTCCTTCCTTTCTCCCGTAAAAGATGAACAATACAAAAATCGTAGTGCCATTTATAGTACAGGAATCTTTAAACTGCACAACGGTTTTTGTACTGTTCATCTTCTACGGGAGGAAGGAAGGAAGGCAATCTATAAATCATGCTTAACTGTGGGTTCATAATGACCGTTAGAATAAGCATAAGAAATACATAACAATACCATATACTTAAAACATAATCACAAACACAACGGCCTGCAACGCACTAAACTAAATTATACTATATATATAAACTAAATTATACTATATAAATGTATATAATATTTAATTTAGATAGTTCTTTACTTTTAAGCCTATATACACTTTTAAGTTTTTTTTTTAAGGTTTATTGACTTTTAATCTTTTCGACTATTTAGCCAGCTCATTATTATATATTTTTATGCTCGAAAAACAAGCACAACACCCAAGGCTGTGACCGGGAATCGAACCTGGTACCGTCACTTTTAAGTTTTAAATTAAAACATTAATTGTCAAATCCAGGCTGTGTTGCCAGGTCGCTTTTTAATTGTGGCGCCACCGCTCTACTTGGTAAGTTGGCAACACCAAAACCTTTGGTACGAAAGAATGGAACAAACCCCAAGAAAACAAGCAACACCACAGCCAGCAACGCTGTAAGGCAAGGGTTGGCAGCAGCGACAGAAAATGACAGAAGCATCCAAAATAGGCAACCAAGATTTCACAAATCTTTCAAACAAATTGTATGATTATATTCAATTGTGTTTTATTGGGAAGGAAATTTCGCAAAAAGTACTGAAACTATAAAAGTAGCACTGACGTACTGACAAACCTTGAAAAGTACTGATTTCAGTACAAAAGCACTGGCACTGGCAACCCTGTATAGGTAGAAAATTTAGTTTTAACATAACCTTAATTACTTACTCAAAATTCAAAGCACTTTTAAAACTTTTTACACACGTTTAGTTAGTAAACAGATGATTATATTTTTTTGTTATAACTTTCACACAAGTACTTTTTTACGCCTTTTTGTAGAGAAGGTATTGAAATATTAATTTAATTTTTACGACCTATAACTCGCTATTGCGCATAGTAAACTGATTCTTTTTCCATGCTGATCAATTATTTGCCAAGTTTCGATCAACCTGCTTTACAAACGCTTTGCAAATTTTTGACCAAACTTCATTAGAAACAAAGTTGGCCAAAAACAACTCTACTTAAGTCTTTATTTTCATGCAGGTTTTGTGCTATCGCGTTGGGAAATGATTGGCATAAAATATATCAATTTTTGGTCAAAATTAATAAAAATACAATTATTATTTCCTCGGGTTCCAGATCTTTGTTCCCGAGTTATCTTAGTCTGCTGTTGACGATATATACCTTACTCTTAAATAAACTCCAGAAAAAAATTGTAAACCATTTCTGGTACAAAACGCTTTTTGTGGGACCTACATATTAAATATTAAATAAAATAATTTAAGCCATAACCAGCAAAATCTTGACGTATTCTTTCCATTTCAGGTTCCATGGACCTAAAAGATGCTCACGAGGAGTCCTCCAAAGACACGTTCGAGATCCACGGGTCTCCCCAAAACCAAATGACCCACCAGGTGCTGCACCCAGGTCTCTCGAGGCCGATGGGGGCGCCCATCCTCCAAGCTAATCCGCAGAGGATAAACCCGCCCCAGCAGCACCATCCTGGTAAGGAGACGAGACCAAGCGTGATCGAATCGTCGCAACCGCATATTATTGAGTGTACCTAAAATGTATCTTGCTCAGTAGAAGTGTAGTAGACTTGTTAAGTTTTTAATGTTTATTTTTATTTTTATAAGAGTGCTTTGTCCCGAAGAAGGCACTATGCGGCTGCAGACTCGGGTTATAAAATAAAAATTATCCCCTATGTCTGGATGGTTGTTATTTTTGTTGATAGGATTTTGCAGTCACATAAAGAAATGTGATTTTGGGACGTAGTATTGTACTGAAAAATTTGTTTAATATTGATTTTCTGATACTCATTAAATGTTTTGAGAGATAATTTAATTTATTTAGTATTTATTTTATAGTAATTTATGTATATGAAAGTATTTTATGGACATAACCGAATTTTCAATTTAGACTGAATACTGAAAGCAATACTACTTAACCATGACCTGCACGGATAAATTTAACCAAATAAAATAGTTGTGTTTTTCGTTTACATTTGAATGTTTTAGGAACTAGAAAGTTTAAGTTTGTATCATAGATTTTATAAATGGATCACACATACTATCAAAAATCGCAAAATTGACGCTACATATAAAGGAATACTAACCCTTATTCTCAGGGGTTTAAGTTTTTTTATATGCAGTTATATCCATAATATACTTATGTTAACTTATCCAAATAAGTATAAACCAAATAAATCCCCTGTTCAATCTGCTACTTTCCCGTAAATATCTATACCACCTAAATCAGTGTATGTAATAATTATATGGAAAACTTAATGGTGCTTGTGACTTATTTATTAAAGTGTGTGTGAAATTTTCAAGCTTAGCAGTGGAAATTTGTGTTTTCTGCTTGCACTAAAAAATCAGTATTAATAAGTTGGTTCAAATCGTAAATATTGTACATCTTTGATCATATTTTTTGTAAAAACATATTTTTGTATATTTAGATTATTTGTACATAAGTTTCTTTTTAGTTTAGGTACCTACTGAAAATACATTGTAAATTTTTGTAAATTGTTAAAATTTTGTTTATATGAAATGACAACTTGCCTATTGTACATAATGTTATTTATTGAGAATTATATTTTTTGGTTTTTATGAACAATAACAATATGAACAATATATCTATGAATATGTTTTCAAGTAAAGATAAGTTAATCAGAAAAAAATAATACAGTTTTATTAATAATTTTAGTATGTACTGTGTACAGTAACTTTTGTTTTTGTTATTTAGTTGTACATTTAAGTTATTTATTTTTCTCTTTTCAAACGAACCTTCTCCAAATTTGTATGCCAAACAAGAGACCAATTCTTTTGTCCGAAATTATTAATAACCTAAATAGGGTAGCGCACTTTTTTAATTTTTGTTTTTTTTGTAAAATAGGTGGGTACCTCAATTACAAAGGTATGGTTTTATAATATTCATTTCACCCCATTTAATTAATTTGTACGTGTTAGAATTAGAATTGTTCGCTATTTAATTTTTTCGTCATGGTTTTTTTAATTCTCCTCGTTTTTTCAACTGTTACATTGAAAGTATTTTGGAATATATCATGCATGTAAAAATGTTCATATTACTATTAAAATATGCAAAAATTAAAAAATTGTTGTTTTATTTACCTACATTAATATTAATATTATTATATATTAATAGTGGATGCGGATCTATTGATTAATCCCGGAGCATTCGCCAAAATTGAAATTTATATACACCAGGGTTTTTTTCAGCGCCCCCTAAATTTTTAGTTTATGACCTAAACAAAATTATCAGCCCTTAATATTCATATTAAACCTTGCCACAAAGACGATGCATTTCCCATTTAAATAACATGGGGTTTCGGCATGTTTTACATTAAATTTTTTTGTCCCGAGCAAGTTAATATACAGCAATAAGAGACACATATTTTTATAGGAAATTGAACGATGAACAAAAAACCTTTCCTATGATTTTTTGATAAATTCACTGGTTTAAAAGTTATTTAAGGTTAAAATTATCTTATAGTAATTTTTTTCGATTTTTTTACTTTACTGACTGCAAAATTATTATTATTTTTATAAAAATGAATTGTTTATTTTTGAAAATATGTGATTTTATTTTTTATTAAAAAAGTAAAAATTATTGAAAAGAGATAAGTGAAAATTATTGACAAGAGATTCCGATAAATTAAAAATTTGTTATTACATTAAACGAATCTGGTACTAGTTTTACTGAATTTTAGTACGATTACTTTTTTACATAATCTTTTTATTTCTGCGAAATTCTACAAAATTTTATACGATTTTATAAAATATTATACAATAAAAAATTTTTCTTTCAGTACAGCTAATGATGTAGAAATTCTTTTAACAATTATTTTTACGACAAAATAAAATTCGTAGTTATACGCATACGTTGTCTTGAGTATGAGATGCAGACATTTCCGCTACATCAATTATACTTTTCAAATAAGTTTAATGTATTTATCTACTTCTACATTGGCTAGCTGTGACTTTATGGCGTTTTAGTCACGGGCTGAAGTTAGCAATAGTGGCTTTTGGGCATTTTAGTCACGGGCTAATTGCCTTTAAATTCTTCTTTGTGTTCGTCGTAGATAAAGTATAGTATGCAACTCGTTTTATAAACTTATCTATAGATAAAACGAGTGTCTATAGACACTCGTTTTTAATAATTACTCCCTTGCAAACTTCGCTGGTGCCTAATAAAACTCGTAACTAAAATGGCGTTAATAAAACTTGGTACATAATACACTATTATATAAAAAATGCCTTTTATTGTATTGCCATCGAGATAGTCTTAGGGCAGTTTCCTCCAGAAATTTGGTTTCCATAAAACAAATTTTTTAAGAACCCTTAAAATAGTCTGGCATAGAGCTAAATAGGCCTTAAGGGTCTCTTAAGTAAATATGGTTTTATGAGGGTAAAAATCTTATGGTTTTAAAAGTAGATCTTGTTGTTTCTTATAAAGCTTTCTATTAAAGTAATATGGTTTTAAGAACAATTGACCTTTGTGATAACTCCCATAAACCCAAACATCTTTTTAAAGAGTGTGATAAAGCTTTGATATAATATTTAGGTAAAAGCCAAGTCACATTTATTACCAGGGGCGTACACTGAAAAAAATAAGCGGATGAACAACAAAAAAAAATTCAACTCTTTATGCACTTTAAATACAAGCAATGGTTTTTGCACGTTTACTTAACCATCTAAAAATATCAAATTGTATTGTTTAATTGAACAACAAATAACAGTCAAATGAACAAAATGAGAATATTTGTTCTAATCTGCTTATCTGGTTAATTTAACATTCTTGATATGTCGGAGTAATATTTCGAAAATGGTTGTGCTAACATTCTTAAGATGTTAAGGTAAATTTCTTGAAATGTCCAGCTAACCTTTTTATCATATTCATTTAGGACCAATAAAATGTTAAATTAAAATAATTTGCGCTAATGTTCCAAAACGGTTGGGTTAACATTCTGAAAATGTAAAAGTAACATTCAAAATTATGGAATTAATATAAACTTTATATTATATTATAAAGAGAAAGAATTGAACCTTCACCTCGCCAGAGTTTTTGTTTTAAGTACGTTCCACCTACTTATATACTCCTATCGTAAGCTAACTGAGGCGAGATGTAAGAACATCACGTGATCAACACCGTCTAATGACGTGGCGTGGGTGTTCGAAGCGCCCTTCACGGCAATTTTATGAATGCAAATTTAACATTTTAAATTTTAAAGTAACATTTACAATTTGTTAAATGAACAAATTTAATGGTTTGAATTCAAGAGCAACTAAACGTTAATTTAATAGTTTTTTTAGGTAATCCTAAAAATTTAAGTATTTGATTCAACCAATTCCAGCTATTAAATCAAAATAGGATAAACATTTTAATTCAAAAAATTAGTTTATGTTAAATCAATATTTTAACTGCCAAATGAACAAATAAACTTTGACAAACTCTGACTATTGCTTTGACATGAAAATATAGATTAATCCAATAGGTTTTTTGATGAAACAACATTTTTAAAAATGACATTTAGGCAAAACGTTAACTCAACTACATTATTTTTTTCGGTGCCTATAGGCATGAAATTAAATAAATGAATAATATTATTATTTAATTGTTTATACTTCGATTTATTAAATTAAATTTTCCTGAATACCCTCCTGTTCCAACGAGGCCGTGAATTGTTTCTGCCCGCACCTTTCCGCTATGCGTTGTCTGCGGCGCAGTCTGAGCATATTGATCTGTGCTCTGCGCCACATACTGAGTCTTCTTTGCGTGTTATTATATTAGGTTATATTAATAGCAAATTAGAAATAATTATTAGCGTTGCGAATATTTCAAATGACGCCTTTATTTTAAAATAGAAACCATTTAAAAGATGTTGAAGAACGGTAAATGTCTAAAACAAGACCAAATTTTAAAATTTGCCGGTACATAAAAAGGTATGTATACATACATTATTTATTAAATTATAAAAAATTGGTAGATGCAAAAAAATGATACCCTAAAAAATTTTAGGATGTTTTAAATGTTTAAATTAAGTGTTTAAAAAGAATTAATATTAAAATATAAGATCATTAACCTAAAATAAAGTTATAAACTGTGTCCCAAAAATAGGGAAGATATTTAAAATAGTTTTGAAGTTATTAGGCAAAGCCAAAATATGTATTACATATCTAAAAACAAATGTTCTTCTCGGTGTTTTTAATATTGCCCATTATTAAACAATGTTTAAATATACTCATCAAATAGACATACAATTTTTAAAGAGGAGTATCTATATAGATATCTATATAATAAACACTTTGTTTACTTACTATAACTATAAGTTATACGCGATAATTATGTCATACGCGATAATTATATCATTCGCGATAATTATGTCATGCGTGATAATTATATCATACGCGATATAACTATAGCTATAAACAACCATTTCTAAAAATAAACTTGACTAAAATGTTCCAAATATGTTCAATATTATTGTGTTTATTATTGCAAATTTTCTTGGTACAATCAGCAAAAGTTTTGTTGGTGTTCCCAATTCCTTCTTCAAGTCATCATATTCTTGGTACAAGTTTGGCGAAAGGGTTGGTCAATGCTGGACATGACGTCACATTGGTATCGCCTTATGTGGACAAAAATGAGACAATTGATAATAAAAATGGCAAATATAATCAAATAGTTATTGAGGAGATTGATGAACAACATAAACGTAAGAATAAATACATTTAGGGCCGTATGCAGACACGTTGATTTATTTATATAAACTGATTTACGCATTTCGACTGATTTAAGTTTGAACAATTTGGGAACATAGCAAATTTTAAAAGATAGTAAAGATTTGTAGGTTATCTTACATATACTTAAATATGTGTTTTATTACATTAAAAGAGTGATACATTTTTAAAATGTATTAAATAGGTTTACACATAAATACATTTATAACTGACTAAACCTTATTATTGACAAAAAACTTTTGCAATGTGTTTTGTTATAAGTACCTAAATTTACATTAGAAGGTATGAATATCAAAAATTACGGGTTAAAAGCCTCTGAAAAGAACAAATAAATTTTGTTGAAGTTGTTGGCAATTTTATTGTTTATTATTTTGTTAATTATTTGTGCTTGTAAAATATTAAGTAATTAGGTATATTATAATTATAATAATTATATTATAGTTATAGAAATACTAGACCTGTTTCTAAAAGGCAATGCTCTTTTACCTATTTTTTTACAGGTACCAATAACACATTTTTAGGCATTTAGGCACATGATTTGAAAAAAAAATGCAAGGATGCTGAAGGACTTTGAGAGGGAAAAAAGACATTTAAAATTTGTTACAAGAATATAAAAAATTAGTTAGTTAATGCTTGATAAAAATAAATTATATCTATACTCTACAGTTGTGCTAGAAAATGGGTGGGAGGTGGAGTCTAGAAACTTTTTGTAGCATGCAAAGCAAACTATTTACCCTTGCCCTGCCCCCCTGAACAAAATCATGGCTACACCCTTGCTTCATATATATTTACAAACAAAAATGCTGTCTATATTTATCC